CAATCGTCTTTTGTACGTATTTTTTTTTTATCTCGATTCTGTTTTTAATATTTATACGTTGATCGTTAATATAAAATCAGTTCGCAATTAAATGTAATGAAACGTCAAAATTAATTAGTCCAAAAGTAAAACTATATATTAAAAAATATATATTAAAACAAATTTAACTTTACTTCTAATTAATTTTCGATCAATATAAATATTAAATATTATCAATATAAATATTAAATATATATTAAAAAGAATTCTCCTAAGAAACTTTGCATCGTGATGCAAACCGAGTTCCCTAAATTTTCAATATTTATATATTTAAATAAATAAGGAAATATATTTCGCACGGACACACCTGGCTCACATCGATCGAATAAATTGTTGCTGAGTTAAAAAGTATTAACAGTAAATAAAATTGACAAAACGTTGTGTCTAATGCGGGAGATGTTCGCTCGACGGAACGTCAACTGCTGCTAATAAATATTTATTACGAAACGATGATTACCCGGCTTTAGAGGACTCGGTCGCGTTACTAGACCGCATTTTTCCAAAGCGTAACGAGATGATTGTTTCTCAAAAAATCGACGTTCGTGAGACTTGAATTATTTACGGCTGTCGCCTTGAATTTATTCTCGCGAGTTTATATAACGTCACTCTCGAGGAAGAACAGGTGTCGAAACGCGCGAAGTTGTAAATTCTCATGTAAATCTACCAGGTTTTTGCGGTAAGCCGAAGCTGTACTACGCGGTTTTGCGCAACGATGCATCCGCGAATATGTCACAACACTCGCGCGTGCGTGCTCGGCAGCGTCGAGCATACCGAACGCTGGTGTTCGGCTATTTTCTAACGTTCCCATTCTTCCGCTATTTGCGGTATGCGCCATTACACAAAGAACAAACCGTGCTCCAAACGAGAAAAACCTGCTCGTTTGCAACAATTGATTTCTAATAGATTTATTAACGTCAATTTCCTTATACTAATGGTCGATGTGATAATAATCAATGTTTAATTTATCTCAAACAAGAGTAAAATAGTTTTTAATGCAATCCGGACGTTTTGCTGATGAAACAAAAACTTCAACAAGAGATCGCGCGAAGCTGTTGTTCTTTTTAGGAGGAAAATTAACGCGAGAGAGGAGCGGAAAAACGATTCGTGAATGTTGAGAGAGTGCGTTGGGGGATATGTAATTACTCATTATTCTGCAAAAAAAAAAAAAAAAAACAATTCAAAAAACAAGAGAAAAGATGAAAGTGTGATACTGTGTCGTAGAACGAACGTTTCTAATCCGGCGTCGACAGGTGTAATATGCATCCCGACTGCAATGCGACTTTCCAACGCGCGATGCACTTTTACCTTGTTCACACTTTCGACAGATTTTTCACATCTCTATTGAGAGATAGCGAGAGATATGTAAATTATCAAGGAAGGAATAAATTTCTCTTGTGCGCAGAAATTTATTGCTAGCTGAAATATTGATTTCGAGTAGTAAAATCTGATTCTCCAGACAGCAAGTGTCTCTAAAACAGAAACTTAAAATCGTTCTTTGACACATCTTGAAGTCTGTCTTTTGGTTTTTCTGTCTTCGATCGAAAACAGCGCTTTTATTACTCGAGATAAATATTATTTTGCCCGCACACCAGTAATAAATTTCTAGAGTTTAATGTTCGATACTTGTAATAAAGTTTTTTTTTAAATGTGTTTTTGCAAATTTCATCTTTTGCAAAAGGCATTTAAAGGCTGTTTCTCGGCTTTTTCGCAGAAGAAAATTTCTGCGAGATAAATCGAAAGGACATGACAATTCACAAAACCAAGTCGAAGGGAAAAGTACTGAAGACTTATTGACGTGATTCTCGTCACTGCTTAGCTATACCGATGACCGTATTAGTGCCGTATTAGGGCCGCGGCACGTTGCCAATCGCATTAAATGCGCAGGTAAACGAACGGACAAGTGAAAATGTGGGTAGGTCGTTGTGACAATGTACAACGTGTCTCGGGACCTAAATTCTGGATGAAATGCCGTTTTGAGATTCGAAAACCTGTCACGAAAGAAATATGACAAAGCTTTTTAGATTTTTGATTTACTGCGCACGAAAAAAAAAGGTTTGAAATAGCAAGAAGATGCGTCACCGTACGAGCAGCAAAAAACTATTTGCGCTGAACCTTTTTGAAGGTTTTGTTTTGCTGACGTTTTGTTGATGAAACAAGAAATTCAATATTTTTCTTGCTGACCACATGATGCGGCAAAAACTTTTTTCCATCTATGAATTTTGTCACTTTCATAGAAAATAAAAACAAAAAGATTGTCAATTTATCAAATAAATTAAATGTTAAATGTCAATGTTTGCGTCAATGTTTTTCCCCGAAAAAAATATAACAAACGTATCTTTCACATGATTTTCTATTTTTTTTGTCGAATATAAAATTTCACACCTGCGAGAATACGCAGCGAAACGTAACGCACGTGGGAACGTTTAATTGCAAATCAAGATACCGGCACGTCTCGCGTTTCTCGCCAACGTAATATTCAATCATGAATAGAGCACCCGGTATAAGAGATGGGAGAGATCTTCAAATACGTACCACGCCCTTGTGTCGCCTCATCTCTCGTTCGTTCAGGTTCGAGGCGGCTACCTTGTCGCGTCAGGTACCTCCTAGATCTACCTGGTGCGCATTCCACAGGAAATGTCCTCAAAGATCGTTCGTCCCAAACGGTTCCCTAAGGCCGTTTCTTCTTCTTCTTCCTTTTTTTGCGCACAAACGCGCGAGAGGGGAGATTGACGAAAGAGTTTCTTGCTCGTGAATGACGTTTGCTCGTCGGCTCAAATCGAGCGTGCACGTTGCAGCCGTCGTCCGCCACTTTCATCGCGCTCGCCTTCATGCGCGCCTTTCGTCGTCGAACTCGTTGCGCCGGAACGTTCCACGGAAGATTAATGATCGAATTTCTCTCGTCGAATTTCGCCGCGGTGCACATAATAACATTTTTAATTGTTTTACTTTTACTTCCTGCGCGCGCGTCACACGTATTTCGTCCGCCACCGTACGAAATTACGCGCGTCGCGAATTTAAGCGCGAAAGTGGAAGGCAAACTGTGTGTGTAACTATGTGCGCGCATGCATTTTTATGTAACGCGCGACATGTGTATTTTACGCAACCAATTATTTTCTCAGCCGATCAATAACGATTCTAGGATCCGGTTTTCCTTATGCGCTATACGACGCGCGGCTCGCACAACATTTTTCTGAATGCTTGAATCATGCGTCGCAACGTAACACGTGAAGGCGTTTTACGCGCGAGTATTTTACATTCCCGCGGACGCACGCATTTTCCCTCGCGCGATATCGCGAGATCGCTCGCTCGCCGTTCGCAACGCGAGGTCTCGTCGATTCCGTGACCTACGTTTTATTATTTTTTATTTTTATTTTTTTTTTTTTCAATCCTTAACGTGAATCACGCGCGGTGACTGCGACTTTTTGCGACTTGTCAAACGTCATCGACGGTTTTACACACGACGTTACGCGATAGCGCAGGATTTTGATGGAATATTTTTCTAATTGTTGTTTAGGTTGGCTGAAGATGATCGAAACATCTCTCTCTCTCTCTCTCTCTCTCTCTCTCTCTGGCATCAAACGAGTTGTGTTTTTTTTTCAACTCGGATTTGATTGATCACGAGACTCGATTTCGATTCTTGGTCGAATTTCCTGTGCCGTATGCAACAATCTCTGAGAGAGCACGGCACTCGAATCGTCCGAGAATTCGTTAGAAAGGAAACTTCTCTCGACTTCCCGACTCGACGACGTTCCTCACGTCGGCGAATCGCGCGGAAAAAAAAAAAAAAGTAACGAACGAGGTAACGTACAACGTCGCTCGCATTCCCGGTTTCGCGCGGCGAATTCGCGCGCACAATTCTCTCGTTTCCGACATGCTCGAAAAGTGGCACGGTACCTTCCCCCCTCGTCGGATTTTCCCTTTCAAATCCGTTACGCGCGCTCGTCCAGATTCGTCGTTTTGATGGCTTAACGAGATTCATACATAATGAGCCGCGCGCTGTGGGAAGCGAGCGCAATTTTTCTCATCAGCCGCGTACGAAAGCGCAGCTCGTACCGAGCGCGCAATCCGATCCGGATTGCCAGAGGAAGCGCCGGATATTCCGTCGTTAAGTTTGTTTTCTTTTCAATGGGCGCGATCTCTTCTCGGTCTGTGTGAGAATTTTTGTTCGCGCGAGCTCTGAAGCGTACGAGAATCAGAGTCAGAGACCGAGCGCCGCCGTTTCCGATCGCGAAAGAACTTTCGTTCGCGATCGGAGATGTCGAGAAGAGCGCGGGATGATATTTTCTCTCGCGACCGACCTCTCCCGCGCGCGAATGAAGAGGTGCCATTGACGGCACCTCGTAAATCTATCGATTCCTCGATCCCGCGTCCTCTCTCGCGCATAGAGGACCGGTCTTTGAACCAGCCATATGGCGTCAGAGTACACACATTTCTTCGAGCTGACGTTTTTCTGATCGTTTCAAGGCCGACTTTCATTCCATTCGCGGGATGATAAAGTGGATCTTGGATACGCTAGTTGGATTAAAAGGGACGGGTTTCCAACGCGCGCGCGCGCGCGCGAGCGAGCGAGCGCGCGGATTGTCGCCGCGAATGATCGTCGTAGCAACGCGGTCGCTTCCAGAGTCCGCGTTGAACAAAGAATAGAGACACGGAAAGCAGATACGACAGCAGAATTCCAGCTGGCGTAAGGTGTGTCATATTCCAGTTAATGTCTCGCGGCCTGGTCGGTGCGCGCGCGCGCACACACGCACGTGCACACGAAGTGCTCTCTCACGCGAGCGCATACACACACACACACACACACACACGGACGCAAGTCCCAAGATGTTGGGGACCGACCTCTACCCGCAGTCTTGCCAACTAAACGAACCGACCAGGCAAAACCGGTGTCGGCACGCTCTCGAGCCCAATCTTCCCCTTTCACCCTTCGCTCCTCTCGCTAGCTCTCTCTCACCACTCACCAACGCAATCTTTCTCTCTTCGTCCTGCGCTCCGTGCGCTTGTGTGTTAAACACCGACGTCCGTCCTCCCGCTCCGTCCTTCTGCGTCCCTGCTGCAGTCCTCGGCCGATTCCACCTCGACCAGTCGATCTGGCGATACAAGAGACCGCGATCGCGCTCGCTCGCCGCGGAGCATTTCTCGTCGAAGATCTGGAAAAAAATTAGGGAATCCGTTCGCGTCCCTATCTCCGAACGTCGATTGATATCCGCGAGTGAGATTCCGAAATTCCAATTCTTCGCCTGTGCGCAAACGACCTTCGTCGGGAAAAGCCGCGATCCAGGCGCACCGACTGGGATCGGCGGCGCACGCGAAGGACGTGTGAGCAACACGCGCGTGCTGCAACACACACGAGATGCGGCGCGACGCGAATCACTCGAGAGATGATAACCCACGCGACGTGCATCCACGCCCGTGAACGTGGGAGTGAATAAACGCGCGTGCGTTTCGATCGTTGGTGGTTTCTCGACTTGGTGGCCCCCCGTTCGTTTCTCGTTTTCCGATTACGCGGATACTCGCCTCGCGAGTGAACGTGATGCAATTCAAAAATCCTCTTTGTTGCGCTCCACGTTGCCGTCGACGTTGTCAGTGAGACGCTTGATCGGTGTCTGAAACGCATCGATCGATCATTCCGAGGATTTAAATTGCGAATCGATCGCGAGAGGTGGTTTCGAATTTAAAAGTGCTGGCTCGACTGAATCTCGGAGTCTATTTGGAGGGAAGAGAACTTGTGAACGCGCGGAGAGGGGACGACTCTTCTGAATTGTCACCGAGAGTGTTTTTTGTTTTTTTTTTTTCACCCGAACGAAATTGCGTTTCCTGTGCGTCGGAGTCGCCTGCGAGTGTGAGTCGCCACGGCGATTTAAATCGCGGTCCGGTTTAGGCCCGATTTCGTCTCGGTGATTTCGTTCGTGGCGGGTCCTCCAGAACCTGTTTTGCGCCGACGGCCTTCAGGCGGGTTTTTGGAAATGCGCTTCCGGTCGGCGCGGGGCGCCGGGTATTTCTGTGCCGCGTGAGGAAGAGAAGAGAAGATACACACAACGAGAGAGAGTTTCTCGTCGCGATATATAATTATACACAGGCGCTTAAAAGCCGCCTTGTTGCACGGGGCGACACGAAGAAGAATCGCCCCGTGATAATAGTTTTCGCGAAATTCGCGCGAATTTGTTCAAAAAATAACGTGTCCGACGGCAAGAAATTCTCTTTCTCGTCCATTGAATCCGACGTTTCTTTGTGAGACGAGACAAGTTCGAGTTAATGAAAGAAACGCGTCGAGAGAGAAAGAGAGAGACTCGTGAGAACAGAGGCAAAACGCCGATCCGAAGGGTGTCTCGTGACTGGAATGCGCATTCGATGCGGTTGATGGACCTTTTCTTCCGATCGAGGAAAAAGGATCCGACGAGAGAAAGAAGAAGAGCGTTCTTCATTCGACTTGTATCTGCGGCAACGAGCTGCTGATTCGTTTTTCGATAGAAAAAAAAAATCCGGACGGAAAAACGTGACCGAAATTGCGCGCAAGAAGCAACGCGCGCGTAATTAAATCAATCGAAGAACAAATAAATTCGAGAGAGACGATAAAAGAGCGAACGAGAACGGCGAGGAAGCCGAGTAGAGGCAACAAGAAATTCCAGCTTCGTGCGCAGTAAATCGTCGCAGAAGTAAGAGCGAGGAACGAGCTTCCGAGATTATCGAGCGAGAGAGCGTGTTCGGCTTCTGAGAGAGCCGCGTGGTCGCCGAACGAAATCGAGCGCTTCACGCTACATCGCACTCCCGAGCACGAGGGGAGAAAAAGAGGCGCGCACGACGACGACGACGACGACGACGAGGCGGTGTAACGAAAAGAGCGTGACCGAGCAAGGCAAACGGGAGCGAGTGTCGTGTTTCTCGCGGAGAGAACGGCACGCGGCGGCGGCAGGAAAATTCGCGCGCGCGGCGACGAGAAGAAAACGACGGTTCCGCGCGATCTCTCCGCGACGTCCGCGAAGTCTCATCTCGCGATCAGAGACCTGACCTATCCCAAGAGTGTTCGCTTATTCTGTGAAAAAAAAAAAACAAAGAAAAACTGAGGAATTCTCAAACAATCATCTTTACGCGAGAAAGAGAGAGAAAGAGAGAGAGAGATCCGTCGCGTGTGTGTGATGCGATCGCGTTGCGACACGTCGTCGTGACCGGTCGCGATTCATGAAGGAGCGAGGGATGTTCCACGAGGGATCGCGGACCGGCGGCGGAAGTGCGCGAGGGAGCGGCTCGTGAGAGAATCGTCTTAGTGGAACGCACGAAGGGTAGGAAAGACGTCTTCCTTCCAGGATGGACAGGAGCGATAACAATATTGTTGGGGTCGGAGGCGGAAACGGCGGCGGCGGCGGTGGCGGCGGCGGCATCAGCGGGGGCTGTCACGTGGGAAATTCCGGATCCCCGCCGAACTCCACCTCGTCGACTCACGGCACCATGCACAATTCTTCCGGCGGGTTCGACGGCCAGGTAGCGAGCAGAGAGATCCTCGGGATTGATAAAATACAACACTACTTGTAAAGATACAATCGTCTCGCGCGTCCGTCTCTATGATATAGTTTAAATAAATTGCCAACAAATTTGCCTTCTCAATTCAATCGCACGCGAAACGTTAAACACAATGTGAGACAAATGTGTTCCACAACACATCGGCCCACACAGATATTCTCGACGAACGCGATTACATCGTGTTACGTAAAACCGAATCAGAAGACCATTGAGATTACGTTTACACGTTTCAATCTTCTGCGAGTGAACTCGCAATTAAATTTTGATTTAAAAAATCGTAATTCGAGGATGCGCTCGATTTAAATTTGTCTCGCGTATGAAATTAACGTCCCAAATGGCAAATAAATTATACTTGAAAATTACATAAATATCGAAGTAAAATTTCGAGAGTAGAAAAATTTTTAATTCAAAAAGATCGCGAATTTTTTGGGGATCGCAAATTTTCAATCATATGAGGGGATCGCGAATTTTTTGGGGATCGCGAATTTTCAATCATATGAGGGGATCGCGAATTTTTTGGGGATCGCGAATTTTCAATCATATGAGGAGATCGCGAATTTTTTGGGGATCGCGAATTTTCAATC